TTTTATACCTGTTTTTTGTCTTTTTTTTCTTCACTTCTCTCTCTCTCTCTCTCTCTCTCTCTCTCTCTCTCTCTCTCATTCATACAGACCACATTACATGGCAGCACCACAAGTAACTTTATTCCTTATTGGGCTGGCTTGTTGCTTTATTTCCATACTGTTTCAAAGAATCAACAGTAGACAGTATGGATTTCTTAGATAAATTTGGGAGCAAAAAAGAACTTGATCTAGTCTTAAAGAAGAGAGTCTTAAAATAGTTTTTCTTTTTTAATTTTCAGAAGATAATGTAAATAGTGGTTGCCCATACAAAATTTAGCATCAAGTGCTAAGGTGTACTGGGTGGTTTCTAGATTTATGCTAGGGATCTTGGGTGGTTGCTAGGGCGTTTTTAGGTGTTAAGATATTCTAACTAAGATATATTAAATGTTGCTATGCTATTCTGAGTGGTTGAAAAAGGACACCGCGAGATGGTTGTTAAGGTATTTTGAGTGGTTACTATGTTGTTGCTATGCTGTTCTGTGTGGTTGCTAGGTGTTTGCTAAGGTATGCTGAGTGGTAGACACGGACGGACGGATGGATGGACGGACAGATAGATAGATAGATAGATAGATAGATAGATAGATAGATAGATAGATAGATAGATAGATAGATAGATAGATAGATAGATAGATAGATAGATAGATAGATAGATAGGTGGGTGGGTATATGGATGGATGGATGGATGAAAAGGGAAGTGTGTTATGCTCTACAAAAGTCTTGCATTTTGGTATTAATTACATAATGCAGTTATGACCTCATATTCAGCATGAAGCTATGACAATCGAAACCTACTCCAGCCGCTGGATGTTTCAGAGATGCTGTGAACGGTGGTGGCAGTGTGGCGTCTCTCTCCCTCGTTCTCTTGCCGAGAGACTTAGAAAGAGCAGAAGCTGTCATTAGAATGCGAGGGAGCAAGTCGCTGCTGCAAATTGAAAACATATTGATTCTCCCTCAGCTCTGTTCTCCCTAGCCTGAGATCAGGATGGAGATTCACACACAAGGTAACAGGGAGCAGGAAAGAGGGGTTGAATCGAGAGAATATGGAAGAGAGAGAGGGAAGGAGATTACATCATGCAACTGGACTTTTTTATTCTGAAAAACAAATGGCAAGGATTTTTCTATTAAATGTTTGGGTTGAACCAAATCTAGACAGGCATATAGATCCGCCTATCCAATGTGTATGTGTGTGTCTGGGTACAAGCACCAAAATAGGAGCAGAATTGGTAAAGGCAGATGGTAATTCAGAAGTGTGAGGCTGTCAAATGCAGTCATATACTATGTTGTATGTCAGTGTCTCCCCTCAGGCAATACAATATCTTCCTCATCCAGAGCAGTGTATCACCACCTTACAATCCTCAGGATTCCAATGACAAGAAAAGTGATTTTTCCATAATGCCTTTTGTAGCATATGATTTGAATTCATTTATTTAGAAAAGGAACTGAATAAAGCATTATATCTCAAATATGTAAAGAACTGCTTCAGGGCATTGCTGTCAGAGATACACACCTGCTGCACCCTCAGTAGCTGGTGTCAATGTGTAAGGCAACAAGCTATAGACACCAAACACAGCCTGTTGATGGAGCCATGCACTTAAAGTACTGCCAAAGAATAGTTGAATGTTTGGTGGTTTCAGGCTGTGCACTAGAGTTTCACATTAGTAATTTGCTAATTGTTGCCAAGTTCCAGATAAATGCTACTTAATAGAGCAGTAGAGCACACAATAGCAGCAAAAGCCATGCATAACACAGGGAAACTCTAGTCAAGCAAATTAGATATAATAAAAGACAATAAAAACAGTTTTTGGAAAATGGAAATAATCATGAAAAGTAAATGTGTATTTTAAACATATTTGTGTAATTTAAAGGGATAGTTTAATTCCCTTTAAAAAACACACACACAATTCTGCCATCATTTACCCACCCTCACAGCATCTCCAACCTGTACTTAAATGTATTTCTTCCACAAACACAGAAGTACATATTTTGAAAAAGCATAGAACCCCACTGGCTTTCACGAAAAACAAAAATAAATACAAACAAACGCAAATATAAACAAAAATGGTCTTTTGTGATCCACAGAAGAAATAACGTGACACAGGTTTATGTTGACGGAATTTTTATTTTTAGTTGAACTGTTCCTTTCACATTTTACAATAAGGACTTGAAGTCCAGACATCATTATTCAAAAATCTAATTTTCTAAATATTTTAGCAAAAATCCAAGTGTGAATGTGTAAGGTTCATGTAGGCTACTAAACTGTCATTTTAAACAACCAAAACCTGCATTTTTAAAAACTGAATAATCCATGTTGCATACATAAAATGAAGGGTGTGTCATTATGCAGGCACTAGTTCCTGAGTGATTTATTCAGACCTAAAAAAAAACTAGACATAGACTCCTGTGTTAGACCAAATGCACATGACAACACAAAGGCAAGGTTTATTCAAACCAGTGTTACAATTATCTATGGGACCTTCAGCAGAGGGAAATAGTGTCTACCCCTAAGACAGAGTGTGCCCTGAGGCGAGTTTTACCAAGTGGCTCCACATAATCACATCCAATTAATGAAACCACAAAAAAGGAGGTAGTTCAAAGAGCTATCTTATCCTTTGCGTTTCCACGACTCATTCTTGCTCTCTCTCTTTCTCTGTTCTGCAGAGCACAATTCACTTTAAGCATTGCTTAAGCCAGTGCTCAAGGGGTGTTTTAACAAGCAGTTAATTAGAGCTGGTATTTTGCAGGCTAATGTTTAGCTGACATTAAAGGTCCACGTGGGAAGTTTGTACCGTGAACACAGACCTCAATCATAGGGAATGAATTCCAGAGTTTTCCATGTGCCAGTGAGGCCCAAAGCCAACTCAAAAAACACACGATGCCCTACTGGTTCACAATATATCACATACTCAGGCTCAGCGGCCAAAGCCAGAACTCCTGTTTGCTCGTTGTTCATTCCAGTGATCATGGCACAGCTAATAGAGGCTGGATTAGTGTGCAGGAACAGAGTCAGCAAACATACAGAGACTAATGATGGAGACCAGCCAGTCTGCACCACTTTCTCATGCTCTAACCCCACCTCTAGCATGTTTGCCCCCTACATTAATCTGTTGCTACATTAATCACTATTAATTAATGGTGTTGGCATAAGTTAGTGTCTACTGTATGATCTACTTTATAGTTTTACCCATTTACACCCATCCTTCTGCCCCCATTGATAATCATAGCTTTGGATGCATTAATATGCAGGTTTTTATTATTATTATTGTGAACACAAATAAATGTCCTATATGCTATATTTTTTTCTCTGCAAATCTGAAATCACCAATTCCATGCTTCAGTAAATCTACCCTATACATTCCCGTCCCCTTCCTCTCTGTATCTGTCAGTGTGCTCTCCTCATCTGTCGTCTGCGCTTTGAATCCGGAGTGGTCCAGCACTGTACCAGACTAGAATTTTAAGCATGTCCTTTGGTCAGGAGAAGGGGGCGGTAGAGTCGGTTGCTGTATGCATGAAACTTAAAAGGGCTCTAAAGGAGGCTCTAGGACGGTAACGTGCTGTTTTATGCGGTTTTGTACACCTTTGAACTGGAGTAGGTGCATATTAGGGAATAGGCCCTTTTCTCACTTTTGTTTTTATTAGACTAAGCTATTGTATATTATTTTCATCAGATAATTAATTTAGCCATTTAACTGATGACAGGAGAGACATGTATGCTTTATGAAGTGGACAATAGGACAATGAATAAGGACATATTAAGAGCATACATCAACATGAATAGCAAATAAGCCAATACAAATATATTGCTAGAGGTGCAGGAGGAGATTGCATCAGAAAGAAAGAAAGAAAGAATGAAAGAAAGAAAAGGCTTATAATAATAATTGTGTGAACTGCATTAAAAGGGCAAATACGTTAAAATGCAATATGCTAAAAGAGTGCTCTGAAGCTCTCGAACAGAACTTGCGAGGTGGTAACCATAGCAACAGTACGCTTTTAAGACTAGTAGGCTATCATACAAAAGAGAGGTCCTATCATTGTTTATTTTTTAACATGAATTAATCTATTTATTTAATTTATTAAATATTATTTACAAATACAAAAATGCGTTTTTAAAACGTCAACTTTATGATAGTTGACGATTAGCAACGTGATCGTGTGTAGATTTCCTGTAACTTAAACTGTAACGTGGCCTATTATAATGAAAAGAACTTGATTTTTGTAAAAAAAAAAATAAAAAACTTGATTACATACTCCACATAACGTAGTCTGAAACAACCCAGCACCTTTAGTCAGCATGAAAGCATGCATCGATATATTCGTTCGAGAACGTGAGTTCATATCCATGTTTTTTACTCCGTTCAAATAAGAGTTTTAACTGCACCTTTTTCTGTCGCCGCACATCCCTTCTCTCTCTCTCTCTCTCTCTCTCTCTCTCTCCCTCTCTCTCTCTCTCTGAGCCACAGCACGCCTGCCTACATCCCTCTCCCAAATCTTCACTAGCACACAAGCAAAGGGGACAGAAGCAGACCCGTGTCCTCCTTTCCCAGCACACCACGTTCCTCATTCTCAGGTCTTTTTGTCTTTTACATGGCGCAAGGGCTCTGCAAGCGGGACGGTTCTGGGTGCGAGAAAGCCAACACGGATTTGGATAAGCGAGCATCAGTGGCGGGGGTAGAATACAGCAGTTCCGGCGCCTCCGCCTTCTCGGTCTCTTCTAGCCGGCTCTATGACTAGTAATGGTCGGCTCGTTCTGCTGGATGCTCCCTGCTCCAACCGGATCTTCGACGGCACCATATTCAACAGCAGATTGCCATTTTCGGAAGAGACCTTCATAGAGCTAGAAGATACATATGGAAACTGGGGATCAGAATTTTAGGAAAAAGGATATATAGTAGTGCTTTATTTTATTATTCCATTTTGCTCATTTATGTTTCATTCTCGATTATTTTTCTCATTCCATCGTTGACTTGATTTGTCAAACTGATGCGAGAGCGGCAGCAGCAGATTTAGATTCACCCGGACATTCTTTTTGTTGGTTTTGAACTGGACTATCCTGGCCATCCATCCATCTATCCTATATTTTTTTCTGCTCCTGCACTTCAATAGAGCTTCTCCTGTCCTTTCTGTTTCTCTCTCTCTCTGCGTCTTTCCCTCTTGATTAGAATAGACTAGGATTTTCTTAGCCATATTAAGAGAGGACAGCGTGTTTGTAAAGCAGCTACGTAGGTCAACAGTTGTTGTAACACATCGAATTGTTTAGATATATATTACGATCCGAAGCAAAGCCTTCCATTATTCCATCAAAGCCAGTCTGAATCCCACATTCTTCCTTAACCAGTATTTATCCTCAATTGCTAACACATCAAATCTAAGCGCCTAAATTGTCATAATTAAAACCGAGTATCGTTCAACATTGGCTTAATTGCTGTGGCGTTTGAATGACATGCTCAGGCCGTTATTAAAGGCCTCGGCAATTAATTATTATGTTTAATTAGTGGCTTTGCAGCGTGAATGCTCGTGTAAGTTTAAGCTGTAGCACTAGCTGCTGCATATCTTACCTCTTTTAGAAAAAAAGACAAGGACAAACGATTTAGGACGGTAAAATTGCTCTTTGTTGGAACAGTGCGGAAAGCGTACCGTTCCACTCCGAAAACAAACGAAAAAGCCAGAAAGGCTCATCTATTTCTTCCTTAATCGGTTCTCACCCAAACGCAACCATAAGGTTCCTACCGCATCCTCCCCCTTCCCCCTCCTTTCGCTCAAATATATCCCATTTTTTAAATTTGGTTTGGTACCGTAAATTTTCAAATATTTATTTCCTATACATAAAGAGGAAAGGGGGTCCCCCTTTCATGGAATGCGGAAACATGGGTGTGTTTGACCGCGGAGTTCAGATGTTATTGACCACGGTGGGCGCGTTCGCCGCCTTCAGTCTCATGACCATCGCGGTGGGCACGGACTACTGGCTGTACTCGCGCGGCGTGTGTAAGGTCAAAAGCAACAACGAGAACGAGACCAGCAAGAAGAACGAAGAGGTGATGACCCATTCGGGACTGTGGAGGACATGTTGCTTGGAAGGTAAGACGACTCTCATGCTCTCTTTCATCCACCCGATGACGTTTAGCGGTCCCCCATTTGCATTAGAGGGTCCATCTCAGCATGTGCACACGTGTTCCTGTCGGTTGTTACGGAAACGCATCTTAGGCCTGCTGCTCTCATGGTGGTTTAGCGGCTCCGCATTCAGAACCACGGACAGCGACAGCGGCGCACAATACTAAAACTGATGCGTAAAGATGTTAAACAGGGTCTACTTTGCCAGATAGTCCAAACACAATGCTATTTCTTATAGTAGGATGTGTAGTAATAAGACAGAACTAGTTAACTGCACTGTAAAAAAAAATCCGTAAAATTTATGGTAAAAATCCGGCAGCTATGGTTGCCGGAATTTTACCGTAAAAAATACGGTAGCAACGTTTTAGGTTTTACGGTTTTACAGTTAAATACCGTAATTTCATTAACTGATATAATGTTAATATACCAACCTACTGGAAGTACTGAAATCTGTTTTGTGCCTTTGTAATACACTGATAACCACCAAATGCAGGTGGTGGTGAGAAAGTCACATGATGAACCAAAGCCCATCACAAGCAGCTTTTAAATAATAACATGTATATGGTAACACACATGAAACTGAAATAATGCAATAAACACTCATTTAACAACATTAGGTGTAACACACAACCCTAATATACAAAACCGATAAGAAAAAACTAAGAAGAAACATAGTTATTTCAACAAAAAAACATCAAATTTGAAACGTAACGCAGGGAATTCTGGGAATGTCAATTTACGGTTATTCACTGTAAATTATACAGTATTTTTCATTTCCAAAAACGGTATACTACCGTAAAATTTATGTCCAATACATGTAACATCCAATACAGTTTTTCACCGTATATAGTAGGGGAATTTACCATTAACAATTTAACAGGTTTTTACTGTAGCATTTTTTACAGTGTGGTTTCTTGTTGGTCTAAGACGGACATGTTCTAAAAACCGGTTTGAACACATAAATCTATAGTAGGAACACATATTTGCTTGTTTTATATATTCTTGCTGCTGCTCATGACCAACTTGGACCAGCGAATGACCAGCTTAGACCAGCTAGAAACCATCTAGGACTATCAGCTTTTTTGGGTTCAACCAAAAATACACATTTTGTCATCATATGCTCACCCTCAAGTCATTCCAAATGACTTTCTTTCATCCCTGAAACACAAAAGAAGATATTTTGATATTTTTGTCCATACAGTGATAGCGCAAAGCAACACGGAACCCCTTTGATGCTCTTTGTATGGACAAAAAGTGTACTTTTTCAAATTATATTATTTTGTGTTCTACAGAAGTCAGTCAGTCATACAGGTTTAAAATTAACATTTAAAAAAAAAAAAGGTTATTTATTGGCATCTATGGTTTCACGAAGAATATTTTCATTCCACGAAGGGTTCTTTACAGTGGAAAAAGGTTCTGAAAGGTTCTTGGGGGGGGGGGGGGGGGGGGGCTTCTAGGGCATCGTTGTGAAAACCCCCTTGTGGAACCATTATTTTTAAGAATGGATGAGTAAATGATGACAAAAGTTACATTGAGGTTAACTATCCCTTTAAGATAGATTTTACCGCAGGGGAAAGTTGGATGTAAAAGCAGATAAATGCATGTGTGCACTACTGGGACTTCCACTAGGTAACACCTGGGGAAAATTGCTACTCATATGCACCATGTTCAGAAAGGCTCACTATATGTCAGGTCAACGTACACAGACTGTTGATTTCCTGTCATGCCTCAGTGGCTGCACTGACTGCTGACTTTGGCCTAGCAATGTCACCTTGTGAGGTCACAGAGCATAACAAATCCTCTTCCTCACCAGGGCTCAGAGGAGGCATAGAAGATGGCCTGTGTCTCTGAGGCACACGGCCATATGCTATCTGTACACATCCTTTGCTGCATCTAAAGCACAGGAAGATCTATGGATCTATGGATCTATGGATACAGTCAAATGAGTTAAACTACAAGGCGTATAGACAGGGGAGACTGGATGTTGACCTTGATCATCATTATGACTGCATGAGTTCTCATAGCCATATATTGACTAAAGCAAGATGAGTGACTTTGACCACATCTGTGAGCGTATCCTTAACTCTTTCATTTTGTCTGTCAGTTTACCCTTAAGTTTTGTCTGTCAAATGACCCGAAAGGCTCAAGGCCTACAACCTTAATGTGCAGGAATCTCTTGGACCAAAAAGTGTTTCATGAGAACCATCTAAGTGGGGCCTGATGAACATTTCCATGTAGAATATTTCCTAATAGCTCTTTTGTAGTACCCCTTTGTGTCATTGGCACCACAAAATTCACATGGTAATCAGTCATTTGTCAGATTTGTAATTTGTGATTCATTTCAGCTCTCAGTTACGAAGATATAGCAGACAGAGGTCAAATTCTTTGGAATAGCAATGCAGTTTGATTCGGTTCAGCTAATAAACTGATAGTACGCTAGCAGAATTGAACCGTGAAGAATGAAACATTTGCCTCTCTGTGTGTGTCACAAAATAAATCCTACCGTTTATGAACAGGCAAAATGATCACTGGATAAACAACACACTCAAATAGTAGAACATACAGTTAAATTGTTGATTACAGCCAGCTCATTTGCAGAATTAGGTGTAGATCTATGATCAGTTTTAAGTAGAAGAGGACTTAAATGTGAAACATCTCTATTCCTCCTTTTCTCAGTTCAGGCTCACACAGATCGCACGCTCATACTATGACAAAAGCAATTAGCTGCAACAGTAAATAACACTTATCCCTCAACCTACACGGTTGTATCCATCAACCAGGTGCCGCCTCTCAGAGCCCGTCTTGCACTGCCCACAATTTTTTCAACACAAAAGCAAAGCACAATGCACTTGCTGTTATCACACCTCTCAGTGAAAGATGACAGCTTGTTAAGGTCTTATTCTGGACACCCACGGAGCCTATATAGTGCCGCTGCAGATTAGAATGTATCCCTACACTCTTAAAAATAAAGGTGCTTCACGATGCCATAGAAGAACCTTTTTGTCTAAATGGTTCCATAAAGAACCTTTAACATCTGAAGAAACTTTCTGTTTCACAAAAGGTTCTTTGGGGCGAAAGAAGGTTCTTCAGATTATAAAAAGGTAAGAAAGAGATGGTTCTTTAAAGAACCTTTGACTGAATGGTTCTTTG